TTCAATTTCTACAGCAATACGAAAAAAACTAGTGATACTCTTTTAATTCGTAGACGGCCCAAAGAATATTTAAGAATTCCGAATAATCGCTGCTTACAGAGTAACCCTTAAATAAGGAATGTAGCGTTAACTCGTGTACGAACTAGCACTCGGTTTCAAGTGACGTGAAAACTGTGAAGTTTTTCTTGAAGTTCAGTGCGGAGCAACGAAGCTTAATGGTGTTTTGCTTTTGAGTTTGAAACGATGATGAACCAACTGACAAGTATGATATCGTCTTATTAACTGAAGGAACGTAAATTCTGTTTCTGGGAATTGAAATCGTAGTAAGTCGATGTACCTGATCTTGCTTTCACCGAAAGTGCAGGAAACGTTTCTTTAATCCGATTTATCCTGCAGTGCGTCCAAGGATGAATAATACATACAAAATATCTTATCCCTGGAGAGTCAACAAAAGGGAAATTATTATTACCTTCTTTATGCTACAAAACAGGGGCACAGGGTTGGCCATGAAACTTCCTTCTCCGAAAAATGGCGCATGTAAAGAATCCTCAAACGGATTATTCAGTGCTGTTATTTTCAACAATGTATCGGTGTAATATTGTTGATGCCTGAATGATCTTATTGTCAGCTGTATCTTCTCTTACTATAAAAATTTCTGATTTCGTCGTCGTCAACCAATTTGTCGTCAAAAAATTACGTCATCAACAATGTCAACAGATATTTGTTTACTCGGCATTGTTGTGGAACACAACAATGTCGAGTAAACAAATATAACGCTTCACAACAAAGAAATCAAAAAATATCAAGCCAGTCGCATGATCACTGCTCCAGAAGGAGCAATTCGTATTCTTGAATATTGACTGACAGTTGGCCTAAAACATCAGAAAAGTGAAAGAAGACGTTATCAAGTATTTGAAGTACCAACTCCAACAACTTCAACAAGGTAAACTGATACTCATTCGATATATTACGATTATGAAAACTGACTTTATGATCGATTTTAAGACGAAGATTTGCAGGGGTGGGGCTGGATGTAAAAAGTTGACTGAACCAGAACTGTTGATCTCTGAACAGCGACGTAAAGAACTAAAACATCAGAACTATTTAACAAATAAAGAAAAGCTAAGGAAGACATACATTGATAAACGTAGAAAAACTTATTCACCAAGAGTAGAAGAGAAAAAACGAAGATATGTATGGATTGGGTTAGACGTAGAAAGTTG